CGGGGGCGGGGGGGCGTTAAAAGGGAAAGACGATGGGGGGACAGGAGAAGGGGGAGGGGCAGGGGAGCAGAAAGGATTCTCTTCCCCCCGGGAGGCTGCATGATGTGACCAAGGCCCCGCGGGACACCCGTGGCAGGGCGGAGGGACAGGACCGACCCTTGTGCCGTGGCAGGTGTGGCCGCCGTGCCGCTATGGAGAGGTACCACGTGCTGGAGGTCATCGGCGAGGGCTCCTTCGGGCGCGTGTACAAGGGGCGCCGCAAGCACAGCGCCCAGGTGAGGGTCCGTCCCACGCTGCGTCCCCTGCCCGGTCGGTGCTGCCTCGGGGGCAGGAAGGGACTTACCCCCCGCTCGAGGATTTCGGGTGGCGGGCTCCCAGGCTCACGCCCGTGCTGGCCCGGGCAGGTGGTGGCCCTGAAGTTCATCCCCAAGCTGGGGCGCTCGGAGAAGGAGCTGAGGAACCTGCAGCGGGAGATCGAGATCATGCGGGGGCTGCACCACCCCAACATCGTCCAGATGCTGGACAGCTTCGAGACTGACAAGGAGGTGAGGGGGGCTGAGAGGGACCAGACCTGGCTTCTGTCTGGGGCCCCCCGTTGGACACAGGCTGGGGGGCGGGCTGCTTCCGTGGGTTGAGTCTGGGGGCTTGAGCAAGTCACCCGCCCGGGCTGTGACAGGGCTTCCGCCCCCCTGCAGGTGGTGGTGGTGACGGACTACGCGGAGGGGGAGCTCTTCCAGATCTTGGAGGATGACGGCAGCCTGCCTGAGGAGCAGGTACCCGTGGCGCAGCAGAGACTGGGCAGGGGGGCAGGTGCCTGCAGGGCTCACGGGGACAGCCGCCCCCGACTGATGGCGGGGTAAACCAAGGCACCTCGTCTGGCATGGGCTGAGTGTGGGGGTCTGCGCAGGGTGGGGGGAGTCGGTTGGGGGTCTTGATGGGATGGGGGGCTCAGGTGCTGCATCTCGCAGGTACAGGCCATTGCCGCTCAGCTGGTCTCGGCCCTCTACTACCTGCACTCCCACCGCATCCTGCACCGTGACATGAAGCCCCAGAACATCCTGCTGGGCAAAGGCGGCGTTATTAAACTCTGCGACTTCGGGTAGTGCGGGGCAACAAGCCTTTTGGGGGGCGGGGAACATCCTTTGGGTTGGGGGACAGGTTTGAGGCCCCCCGTCCCGGCACTGAGGCCTGGGGCATATTTGGTAGGTTTGCCCGGGCCATGAGCATCCACACTCTGGTGCTGACATCCATCAAGGGCACGCCGCTGTACATGGCGCCTGAGCTGGTGCAGGAGCAGCCCTACGACCACGCGGCTGACCTGTGGTCCATGGGCTGCATCCTGTACGAGCTGCTGGTCGGGGCGCCCCCCTTCTACACCACCAGCATCTTCCAGCTCGTCAGCCTCATCGTCAGCGACCCCGTCAGGTGGCCCAAAAGCATGAGCCCCCCCTGCAAGGTGATGGCTGCAGGTGCCAGCGCGGGATGGAGGGGGCTTGCGGGGTGGGTGCCTGCAGGGCTCGCAAGGGCATGGCAGCCGTCCCCAATTGATGCCCCTGGAGCAGAACCCTTGTGTCCTGGCTCTTAATCCCCCTCCCCTGGCTCTAGCCACTCTTCCACACTTCCCACAGCCGGGCATCCAGGGTGCTTTAATCCCTACTGCCCACTCCTCATCTCCCAAGGCTGGCAGCAGGGGTTGGGGGGCAGCAAGGCTGTAGGACTTTGCGGGGAGAGTGACAGTGTGTGCCTGGTGCTGCGCAGAGCTTCCTGCAGGGCCTGCTGATAAAGGACCCCTGCCAACGCCTGTCATGGCCGGAGCTGCTGGGCCACCCCTTCCTTGCCGGACATGTCACCAGTGAGTACCTGCACCTGCTGCCCCTGGCCACATTGCCATTGCTATCTCCCACCTCTGCCCTGGGACTGTGGCTCCCAGCCTCTCCCTGACTTTCCGCAAGCCCCTCCAGGGGCTGCCAATCTCCTAGGCCCTGCTGCCACCTCCCCTCATGGCTTGTGGCGACTGGGGCTAACTGGCCTTAACACCCCCCATCCCCCTTCCAGTCATCGAGGACACAGAGGAGCAGGGGATCCCCAACCCCTTCACCAGCAAGCTGCCTCCGGAGCTGCAGGCATTGAAGGAGAGGCAAGCCCACTCTCTGGCCCCTCGGCGAGGCCAGTCCAAGATCCTGCGGAAGGCAAGGCAGAGGATGGCCGAGGAGACCAGAAGAAAGGTGCGGGGCCGTTGGTTGGGTTGGGGCGGGTCGGAGGTGGCAGTGGGAGGGTACTGGTGGGCCCCAAGGGGTGGTTGGAGCATGGCATGGTCTGGGCCAGCTCTTATAGCTCCCAGGTTTGCCAGCGGTTCTGGGCACCCATGCCCAGGGCTGGGGCAGGCAGAGGGCAGCTGTCCTGGATAGCATCTTGCCCCAGCAGGTGAGGGTCAGGAGGGACGGGTTGGCTGGGCCCTGAGTTGTTTGACTGCAGACGGGCTGAAATTACCCTGGGGGAGGCAGTTGTACCACCTTGCCCCTGACTCCCACAGCAGCGGGACACTGTTATACTGGTGTGAGACCCCTGTGTGCCTGTGATTCCCCTTATACCACCATGAGAGCCCTGTGTGCCAGTGCTCTTGCTAGGGCTGGGTGAGGTCCCTGTACAGCTGGATGGGATGGGGCAGCGAGCATTGGGCTTGGCTGGTCCAGGGCAGCTGTGACCCTCCTGGCCGGCTTCCCAGCAACAGGCAAAGACGGAGTCAACAGGCAGACAGGACCCCAGTGGCAAAGGGGGGCCAGGCCCCAGGCCTAGAGCAGCCCCCGTGGACGGGCCCCGCACCACCCAGGGACCGGAGCCGAGCAGGACGGAGTGGGAGGTGGACGAGCTCCCCCCAATGCCAGGGTGAGGGCTGATTCATAGATTGTAAGACCGGAAGGGACCTTGGAAGATCAACAGGTCCAGTCCCCTGCACCAAGCAGGAAAGATAACTGGGGATTAGGTAACCCCAGCAAGGTAACCGTCCAGTCTCTCCTTGAAGATAGGAGAGAGTGTGGGGGGGCATGTGTGGGGAGACGTGTGGGGAGCCCCTAACAGCACCGTTGCCCTGGGTAGGGAGCACTGCATTACCCAAGACTACGAGCGGGAGTTCCCAGGGCTGGGGGCCCCCCCACCACCGGGGACAGGCAAAGCAGGGCGCCGTGGCCGCCGCAGCATCGAAGCTGTAGCCCTGGAGAACGAGGTGAGCCACCTGCCGGACCCCCACCCAGGCTGGGGGGACGGGGAGCCCACTGGGGGCACAAACTCGGGGCAGTGTTAGCCAGTCTCCTGTGCCCCGCCCACATCTGACCCAGGAGCTGGACAGCGATGAGGAGTGGCAGCACCTGGTGGAGGCCACAGAGCCGTCCCGGCTGCAGCTGAGCGCACCCCTGAGCCTGCTGGGGGACCCCGGGTTCCCGCCACGCCTGCGTGCCCGCATGGACCATGTCAGCCAGCAGGTAAGCATGGGGCGCAGGGCTCCAATGTTTCTGTCAGGTGGAGGGGGCCCTTTGAGATGACAGAGAACAACTTCTCTTCTGCAGAGAACAGGACAGAGGTTGCTCTCCTCTGTAAAACCAGGGATAGAAGTTGCAACCAGGCAGGTTGATGCTGGATCTCTGGAAACACTTCTTCACTGCCCAAGTAGGGCAGCCACAGGGAGATGCCAGAGCTGGGGGCACTGCAGCATGGGAGGGTCCCAGGCAAGGCTGGATGGGTGCTGGGTGGGAGGGTCAAGGCGCAGCGATGCCCGTGTTCTGCTGGGGGGTGTCCCAGGCTGGGGCTGAGCTGGCTGCTCCCCACCTCCACCGGTTCAGGGTTGAAGCCCTCCCAGAGGCGCTGAGTGCTGGCTGCAGCCCAGGCTGGGGCTGTGCCTGGGCTGTGCCAACACTCCTGCTGGGATGTAGCCCCACAGGGTCCTGGCTACAGGCTCTTGCCCCCTACTCATGCTGCCTTTGGGCGGAGGGGGGGCAGGCATGGATTTGCCCCCTACTCAGCCTGGCCTGGCCCTGGGAGGGTTTCCTCTCCCTCTGCAGTGGAGGCATGGCCTGGGCCTGGGCTCTGTCCAGCACCCACCAACTCCCCTGGCAGCAGCAGGACGTTGGCAGCAACGGCCCCCTTGTATTCCGGGGGCAGGGGAAGGGGTGGGGGTGATGCCCAGGGCTGTATCGGGGTGCTGGTGTTGTGTGGCTCTGTGGTTGCACATGGGGGTTGTCTAGACAGTTTTGGATGGGGCTGATCCTGCCTGGGGCTGGATGTGACCATGCAGCTCCCTGCTGTCCCCATGGCTCTAGAATGCCCGGCAATGCTGGCACCAGGTGGCTCCAGTCTCAGTGCCCTTAATCCCCCTCGTCTCTCCCCCCAACAGGTGTTGGAGGGGATGCTGGAGGGGGCGTCCCGGTTGCGCCCCACACTGCGTGTCATAGGGAACCTGCTGTCCACCCGCTGTGACGCCGCCCGGCTGTACGACCTCTGCCGGGAGCTGGAGCTGCCGCGTGTCCTGCTGGGCCTGGCAGGGCAGGTCCTGGACAGTGTTGGCATTATGCAGGTGAGCAGGTGCAGCCACAGGCCTGGGGGTCGGTGTCTCTGGGGGAGGGTTGTGCCCTTGCCAGAACATGGTGCCTGGCCAGGAGGGTCCCTGTTCTCACTGGCTCATGAGCACCGGTCTTCTCTGTTTCCACAGCAACCCTGGAGCATCACAGTGCTGACAGACCTTGTCATTGTGACAACGGGTTATTTTACCAGTGATTTCAACCAGGAGAGGAGCGTAGCAAGGGGAAGGTGCGGGGAACGCAGCAGGCAGTGGAGAGACTCGGAAGGACACGGACATCACTGCTGGGGCCCTGGCTCCTGGTTCTGGGTGGCCTGGGGGCTGGGCAGGGGGCAGGACCCTGGGGAGGTGGTCTGGGGGCCCTGGCCCTCCCTGCGGGCTCCCCAGGCTTGCTTCTGCTCCCCTGCCAGTCCCACGGGGCTCTGCCTGGCCCCCCACTGACCCCTTTCCTCTCCTCAGCCTGGAGACCTTTGTTGAGGCCTCCCACCTCTTCCTGGCCCTGCTGCCCAGATTGCTTTGTCAACCCATGGATGGCGAGAGGCGGCTTCAGCAGCAAAGTGTCATGGTAAGGATGCCGCCCCCACTGGCTCCCAGCCCCTCCACGCCTCGCTCAGCTCCATCTGGTGCCTCGGGGAGTCAGGGACCCCTGGGATTGTCTCACTGGTCTTTCCTTCACCCACCCCCCAGCACTAGGGCTACCGTGGGATGCCTGATCCTGCAGGCTGCTGTATGGCCTGGGCTGCTCAGCACTAGGTAGGTGTCCCACTGGGTCCCTCCCCACTTGGTGACAACTCTCCCCTCCTCCCAGGGCTTCACCTTGCTGTGTGAGAGCATGGACGGCAGCTGCTCCTCCATTGCCACCTCCTTCTACACGGGGCTGTGTGCTGAGCACCACCTCCTCCTGGATACGCTCCTCCAAGGGGCCTCTGGCGAGTGGCCCATCCCGGCGGGTATGTGCTGTGTTGCCATTCTTCCCTGTTCCAGGCTGGGCCAGCCCTGTCTCCCTTCCCCCAGCCTGGCCCCCACCCCACCGCTTAGTGGGGCCTGAGGGCTGGGCTCCCCGCTTCCTTCTTGCTGGGAGGTCATGAGGAAAGCTCCTGAGATTAGTGGAGGCAGTGAATGCCACACCGCAGGGTTCTGCTGTGGCACCAGCTCCCCAGGGACTGCTGCTCTGATGCCTCCTCAAAATTGGTGCCCAGGGCTGGGCCCTGCCCACCTTCCCCTACCTACAGTCCTGAGCCCTGGGCAGAGTCAGAAATGGGCAGCAGCTGGGATGGATTCTTCCCATGCCTGCCATCATGGTACCCCACACTGCAGCCCCTGCCTCCCCAGCCCTGCCAGGGCCCCTCATTCCCAACCCACAGTCCCCTGCTCCCCCCAAGCCCAGCTGGTTCCCCTCACTCCTGACCCGCAGCCCCCTGGGCTTTCCAGCCTCCGGCTCCTCTCCACAGACTTGCCAGTGCTCCTTGCTCCACACTGGCAGCATTGTCTGCCCCTGTCTTGTTTCTCCTCGGGTCTATGAGTCTCCCTTGATTCCCTCCCATCCCAGGCTCAGTGAAGGAGGCCAAGACCACACAGGAGCAGAGCGAGCACCTGGCTGACATCTTCATGGCAGCGCTGGCTTCGGCGTGCAGCATCCCACTGGGGCGTGGTGGGTGCTGGGAGGCCAAGAAGCAGGTCAAGCTAGGCCTCTTCCTGCAGCTGTTCTGGGCAGAGGTCCCTGGGGGGTGCAGCAGGGACATCCCTTTCCAACAGAGGAGCTGAGAGCGGAGATCACATCAGGCTGATCTATGGCCAGGGTCCCTCAAGACTTGACAGATGCTTGCAGCCACCTCTGGGGTGGGAAGTGGCTGGGGTATAACAGGGCGCAGTTTGGAGGGGATGGGCAGAAATCTGACCCCAGGGGGAATTCGGGGAGGGAGAGTGTGACCATCTCAGCCAGGGCATTGTGGGGGCAGAGACTCGGTTCCAGGGACCGAAAGGGCAGTGGGGCCGGGGACAGCACCCCTTGCTGGGCCCTGCCGGCACCAGTGCAGTGACAGGGGCAAATCGAGGAGTCTGAAAAGGGGGGTGCAGGTAGTGCAGCCTGTCACTGCAGGTAGCGCAACACACATTTTTTCCAGTTAAAGAGAAACTAGAAACTTTACTAATAGGCTCCAGGGGCTGGCCCTGTATTATTCTGTTTTAAGATCAAAGCAAAACCACACAGAATTATTAGGACATGCGCTCAGGTGAGATCTCAAATTTAAAAAACCCAGGAAACCCAGGCAAGAAAATAGCCAAAATAGTAGAAGACAGCATGTCAGCAGCCTGTGGCCATCACCGTTCAGATTCACCAAAGGAAATCTCACCATGAGCACCTTGGCAGCGCTTCCAAGACTCCACCGTCAGTCGTTTCTACACCTGAGCTCATACTGTTCTGCAAGAGCTGAGGGGTTTTGGCTACCGCTAGACCCAGTCTGCAGGGCTGGGGGTAGGAGGAAGACGTGAGCAGGAGTGGGGATCAAGCTGTAGATTGCAGGGGAGAGGCTGGGTTGAGCAGGGGAACATGGAGACCTTTCACATCTGGGAGCGGAGAAAGATGAGCAGGAATCCAGGAGATGACGCTGAACCCTGAGGTCGATTGACTCTCTCAGCCTGGCGCTCTCAACAGTTGGGTTTAAACTT